AAAATAAATTCACAAGAGCAAGTATATTGTTTGCACATGTTTATTTACATTAAAGGCAAAATAACTTAAATAATAAGAGCACAAGTAGAGATCTGGAACTTATTTAAGTCTGTCTAAATATTATTTAGTAATTGCAATGTCTTCTATTGTGTGCTAAATACTGATTAATGTAACATAAAAATACTATAAATATAAAAACGAAAATTTAAGCTGAATTTTAGGAGCCGTTTTCTCACTTTTCTACTTTCAATATTATATAAAAAAACGAATGATCGGATGATACACGGATTTATGTCTACTGTTGGATACTACTAGTAGTCAAATTAAATACTAGCGAATAATGTCAAAAATGTGTTTTAAGACAATTTATTTCTAATAATTCACAGGGCCAAAAGTATCTGGCAAGAACATTAAGAGTATCTTGTTGACAAAAACAACAAAAAAACAACAACAACAACAACAGTATTATCATAACCAGCAGCGTGATTCAATATGAGCACTGAGGGAAAAGCAGCCAGTATCATGGGGTGGCTGACCTTTCAACAGTATGCTTGCGAGACACCAGATGCTTGGGACATATGCACAGCCCCATGAAACCAAAACTAGCTTTCTCGCATTTCGCACGCATCCAGACTACTGAAGTCCCATCAATATATAAACAAGGTGTCTCTCCCTCCTAAAGCAGGTCAGAGGCTTTTATGGCATCTTCTTGATACGTCTTTATTTGTGCATGGAACGTTTCCCAATGTCACAGATCAAAATCTACAGGCTATTTTGGCCTAATATCTGAAGCCCGAGAGTAAACATGTTATTACAGCTCTCTTAAATGCATATAATATTGCCTCTGTACAGTATTACATCCTCGACCCAGGTTTATAAATCATAAACGCAGCAGCCTTTGAAAATCCCTTTCGGCTGCTAGACGGCTTTCATTACCAGACAAGAGAGACTGGGAGCTGAATTCCAATCTGCGCTGATGACTGTCATCCTGCTATAAGCGCAAAACTAACCTTGACATTCATAATAAACAAGCCGCCGCGGCGTGACAGGCAGGCAGAGCACGGGCGGCTTTTATCTGGGCGAGAATATGTTTCTGCCGTCAGCATGTGGAAATCTTTCATTATCCTCTAATAGCTTAATGAAATACAGGAATAATGATCCACTCTAAGCTGATTAAGAGCTTTAGCAGTGTTTTAAAGCTTCCTTCCAGATACAGATGATTGTCGTTGAGCGATGGCTGAGAGGAGATTTAACTGGCTGCTAGTGCAAAGCGTTGGATTTAGCTTCTGATGGTACGCGGGGAACGGCGTTGAAGTGTTAAAACCACCTCTGACGCCCTTAGAACGCCCTAAAGCGGACGCCACTTCTTCAAAACAACTATATCGGTTGGGTTATCAATGAAACTCACGTTTTGACCTCCATGTATGTTGGGTGTGACTCATGGATTCATATGTATGTATAACGTATTATGTATTATTCATAGATAACGTTTTCAACTAAAATGCACAACTTTTTATGCGTTTTGGCCATTATTTTACATGACAACAGCATTTTGGAGACCTGAAAACAAACTTTTGTAAACAAGTTTCAAAGTGCAAGTTTTTGAACTGTGATGTCATGCATATTATGTGTTCAGTTAATAGGCATGTGCACAGGTGCATAGCGTTTCTTTACAAAATGACATTGCCAACTACTGGCCTGGCATGAATACTACAGTGTGAAGTTCGGTTTTGACAACATTTGAAAAACTTTTCTGTTTTTAGTACATCATTGTCATGAAACGTACCCTTACTCAGGAAGGGTTCATCTAACCGACATTTAAAGTGACTTTTAAAGAAGCATGATTCATTTTCTTCTGTGACATTTAGGGGTGGGTAATCTGATATAACCTGCATAACTGCAAGAATGTAGAATTATTCTCAAGGACACAATGCTTACTTGCCAATGTTCGATTCTATGGGTCTTGCAACTCTGTAAAACCAAGCAAGTAGCTCTTCCTCTATAGTGTTCATTGCCGAAGCCTTGTAAACACAACTTTATCTTCTGACAGGCTGGTAAAAATACACACTCTTTCTGAGTGCAATATTATTGTCACTCACTGCAAGATAGAGTACTTATAAAGTACACTACAGTTCAAAAGCTTGTTGTCAGTAAGTTTTTCGTTTGTTTGCTTTTGAAAGAAGTCTCTTATGCTCACCAATTCTGCATTTATTTAATCAAATATACAGTAAATCAGTAATATTCTGAAATATTATTGCCATTTAAAATAGTTGTTTTCTATTGTAATATATTTTAAAATGTAATTTATTCCTGTGATGCAACGCTGAATTTTCAGCATCATTACTCCAGTCTTCCGTGTCACATGATCCTTCAGAAATCATTCTAATATGATGGATTGCTGCTCAAGAAACATTTCTGATTATTATCAATGTTGAATGCAGTTGTGCTGCCTAATATTTTTTGTGGAAACCCTGATTTTTGTTTCAGTCATTTTTCAAAAGAACAGAAGTTGTAAATGTTCCATTTAATGTGTCTTTGCATGTATAACAAAATTAATTGATTAAAACAACAACAACAACAACAAAACCTTCAAACTTTTTAACGGTTTATATGATTAAATATGGAGAACTGAGAGACATGAATGCTAACTTACCACAGTACAGCGAGCTTCTTCTCAGCTATTGTGGCAGAGTGACTTGTGAAGTTCTTTAATCTCATTGCGTACCTTAAATAACAAGAGTTACACAAATATGATAAAACTATTTATGCTTTTGACAATTCTCTTCAACACCATATTTCTTATTGCCTCTGATGTCAATAAAGCAAGGACTATTACAACTGTAGGTAATGACTATCATCTAGTATTTTCGATGTATGAAGAGGGCACTGACCTGATGAGCTCTACGGTTTCTGAATACATTGTGTATGGTGACTTGGCCTCTAACGGGTCTCGTTCCATGGCGTTGCCGCATTCGATGAACGAGAGCGCTCCATCGGCGTAATTCACAGCTTTTCCAAACTTGTCCATCTGTGAAGCAAAATTGGCATTAAAGGGAGAATTGAGAGAATTCCGCAAATACAAGCTCGTACAAAATACAAAGCTCGTAAAGTCATACTGAAAAACAGATATCATCGGAGGAGGTAATAAAGCCATTAGGCTGAGGTAATTCTCTTATGAGGCAACGCGAGCCAGAAGATATAATGCAAGAGTGAGGCAACGTGCAGATTTACTGTCACCGGACTGGCGTATATTTCCAACTTCACGACAAGTTTATGAATCAGAACAGTTTATTTTGCATGGTAAAGTCGCACGAAGTGCTTTTCTCTACATTTATGTTGTTCATCCTGACTTATCGGTACAGGTTCGTAAAGGCTAACTTTAACTCTCATTTCTCGTTTCTCGAACACAAACGAATCAATAGCACTAAACAACATTACGCCTGGCACAGACAAACACAAACAATAAGAGCATATCTCATCTCCATAGGAGCGTAAAATAGATTTACTGACCACTTGCCTCTGCTGGCATCTTAGGAGCCGAGTCCATTCGTTTTCAAGTGAGCCTTTCAATACGAGGCGCGTGGACGCCCGGGATTCATTAAAGGCCTGCCACTATGCTCATGTAACGCTGGCAATCAATTCCCTTTACTTTGTATTCATGACTAGGCCTATACATCGTCATAGCGATTTATGACAGAGAGGATGTAACTTGCGATAATGGACAATGTCTCCAGAGATAATTGCCTGGATCCAATTATTGAGGGTCTGGGGGTCTGTTTTGTAAATCTCTAACAAAGCTCCTGCTTTATGGATGCTAAGGGCAGACACAAGGGCTTTCGCTCACCTAGATTGGAAAGTCTTCAATTATAAAAGGTCTGCCGAGAGAGCTTTTTTCCTCAGCTTGCTAATGGCTCCCTGTAGCGGAGGGGTTGTGTGTCCGTTTAGTTAAGAGCAGTGTGACAGGAATTTTTCATCTGCTCTTGTTGAGTGCTAACTTCCCATTGGAAAGAAAAATTGCTAAAGATCGCACTAATATCACTCTTTCTCCTAGGCTTCACTGAGATTGGATGAGAACTAAATGGAGTTTCTGGCTTGGTAGATTTTTCTCTTGTGTAAAAGACGTCATCATTTCACATATGTCTCCTCTAGAGTTTCAGAAAATATCTCACTGTTACCCACAGTGCTCAGGTGCCAAGATATTAAATTCAGGGTTCCCACTCCTTCTGATCAACGAATTACCAAGATTTTATCAGCCAACCATATTACTTTTAAAATGCCTCATATAGATCGCATTGATAAAGACCAATTTTAGCTGAACAAAGAAAAACCTATATATTCACTATAGAAATTATCTTAAATTTCTTTGAATTTTTAAATCTTTATTATTATTATTATTATTATTATTGTTATATTACAACAATAATAACAACAAAACACCAACAACAACAATACTACTACTACTAATAATAATTATTATTATTATTCATTATCAACTATGAATTATTATTATTTATAGTAATACTTATTATTATTATTATTATTATTAATTCTGCAATCAAAAGTAAGAAAATTTCAGTGTTTTATTCTATCTAGTTATGTCTCTATCTAGTTCTAGTTTTTCTGTAGTTTATACCATAGTTAGTCAAATTGTTTCTGCTTAGAAAAAAAGTGATTTACACTAGGATTTTATTTAAAGATGTGATTCATTAAAACAAATTATACATAAGATCCTAAAACCACACACAATAAAACACGTTCTTTCAGTGTTTTATTCTATCTAGTTATGTCTCTATCTAGTTCTAGTTTATATTATTTTATACATTTTTATGTAGTTTTTTAGTACATCAAGTTAAAATAAATGAAAATGAGAAATGTTGCCTTGACAACTAGATGAAATAAAATCTGTTTTTTTAAATGTTTTATTTTAGTGAATGCTTACTTTTTTCAAGTTATGAAAATATTTTCTTATGGTTTTGGTTTTAGTTTCAGTTAACTATAATAACTGTGATTCTATAACAATTATTGTTTTGTTCTGGCACATAGAAGTGTTATGAATAGACTTACCAAAGCATCTGCCTTATGTTTCAACTTCTTGGCTTCCTGCATGTAGTAATCTGCATTGTGAACACTGTAATGATATAAAGTGTGATTAAGATCTGTTTGTTTTTCACACACATCCCATTGTGTGCATTAACATGAACCTGAAATATGTAGAGCTGCTATGCGACTGAAAGACAGTTCAAGACATGTAATACTACACGATCAGTCTTCTGTACACAAGCACACACATCAGTCATTACCCGCAGTAATCACATGGCTGTTACATACGTGTTATTAAATGTGAGTTTCGGTCTCCTGGGCTCCATGTGCTCCATGGACAGGGTTGAAGGGTTTGACCAGAGGTCTGGCTCCGACTGACCATTGCCGTGAAAACCGCTGGACGGCTTGCTGCGACTGTCTTCCTCCTGGAAAAGCAAGAGAACATTAAAACGGTAATTAGCCTCTAACAGCTTGAATAAAACATAACGGAGCCATTCACTCTCAGTCTGTTCTGCATCTACTCAGTGTTTTCATTTTTAGGACCATTTAGTTGGATTGATTTTGGACGATCGGCACATGGGAGCCATTCTCTTGTCTTCAAGGCTATTTTGAAACCTTTCCAAGAAGGTCATTAGTTTAACAAAAACACAAGAAATGTGGTGAAGACCTCAAGCGAGGGAAAAAAACAAATCTATCTATCTATCTATCTATCCATCCATCCATCCATCCATTCATGCATCCATCCATCCATCCATCCAGCCATCCATTCATGCATTCATCCATCCATCCATTCATGCATTCCTCCATCCATCCACATCCATCCATCCATCCATTCATGCATTCCTCCATCAATCCATCCATCCATGCATTCCTCCCTCCATCCATCCATGCATTCCTCCATCCATCCATCCATCCATTCATGCATGCATTCCTCCCTCCATCCATCCATCCATCCATCCATCCATCTGTCTGTCTGTCTGTCTGTCTGTGACTTACAGTGCTGGTCTTGGAATGGGAGAGGGCTTTGTTCTCTCCTTTGCGGTGTTTGTGTGATGAGGACGATGATGAAGAGGTGGAGGCAGGTATTGTGCGGGTGGAGGGGAGGGAGTTTGGGACGGTGGAGGTGTTTCCCTCCTGACTGAGGGAGCTGCATTCACTGCTCCTCCGTGGGCGGCCCACCGGCTCATCGGACAGCGGCGACAGTAGAGGCGGTAACAGCTTATCCTCCCGCTTGCGAGGTTGCTTCTTCAATGAACTTGGCAGAAAAAAAAAAACAGAAAACATGTCAAAGGTCTCTGTCCGTGCACTTGCAAGACACTTCAAGACTTAGTGCGGCCTAATAAGTTTGTTGTATTTACAATATTTCTTAAAACTAACACATACAGAGTCAAATTTAGTGGTGTTTTAAACACTACTGAGGGATACTGGGGGAAAAAGTGTGTTTTAATGTAAACACAGTTAGATATACAGTACCTTAAGTGAATGTAAACTGATGGGACTACACATTTTATGTCAATAAAATCTCAATATCAGATCTGTGCTTTAGGCCTTGCTGTGTAAATGCAGATTAAGAGCTAATTTTAATGAGCAGGGGAAAGAAATCGCATGGACAGATTGTTGCTTGAACAACTTCAATAATGACTTTAGACTATTAGACTGAAAAAAGGACTTTCCTAAATATAAACATACACTGACAAAAGAAGGGAGAACAAAAAGTAAAAAAAAATGAACATATTCAAATGTTCAGATGTAAAAATGAAAGGTGAACATTCATATAAAGTGAAGTATAAAGTATATTATCATTATTATCAAAGTATTTATCATTATTTAAAATAATAAATTATGAGAAGCAAACTGAAAACATATTTACAATATTTGGAGGGGAGGGTGTTTGGGACGGTGGAGGTCTTTCCCTCCTGATTCTATCCCTCCTGATATATTAGCAATATATATATATATATATATGTTAGCATATTAGCAATATATACTGTGTCTCATGGGCTCTTCAGAATCTATAGCGACTGTCTGAGAGAAACGCTCTCAGCTCAACTTCAAATGTTGCATCTCAGCACAAAACTGAACCCTAATTAAAGAGTAAAGCTTCTTTCTGCAAGGAGCTACTGACACATTATTTTACACAGGGTGTAATTTTTTTGAAAATATAATACTATATTCTGCTCTCTCATTTATTATTTTCACCCTTCATGGCAGTAGAGTCGTCTGAGGTCAAACGGTTTTGTTCCTTTTGTTTCCTTTTTCTAGAACAATATAGGAGAGACACAAGGTAATACACAGATGAGAGTGGAGGTGGTGGCACCTGCATGTGCTCTGATATAAACTTGGCAAAATTCATTTACATAAGCGCTTACATGTTTAAACTTAGTCGAAGCGCTTAATAAAGAAGCTCCACTGAGACAGAATGTCCTAGACAGCAGCATATTTTTGCCTTGGTTTATTAGGCTGAAAATATGCTATAAAACATGGGTCTCATCAGTTAACAACACAACATAAAAAGCCTTCTTTACTTTTCTAATTAAATTAAAAGGGTGAATGCGGTGAATGAGCTGATTTAAAACACACTGAGCAGGTGACAACAGTAAATAGCCTGGGGTGCTAAACACTTCCAGTAATAGACGTTGGCGGTGGCTAATAATTTTACGTAGCGCTGCTGATCATATCATGAAGATTCGCTGCCGTTAGTCGTGTTGCAGTGCGGTGGCCACTCAGGCGGACAAGACAAGCACATAACCCCTGTCACACTTATGTCTTCGATGGGCTCTAGCCTGGCCTGACACTAATTGAATATCTAAAATTAGCGGTAGCCGTTGTGCTGGCGTCAGTGTTAAATTACTGTAATGCAGTGGGAAAAAGCAGGCAGGCAGCTCGAAAGGGTGACCTGTTGTTCCCCCAGCATATCCCAGCATTCTTTCGGAGGACATAACACAGAGTAAGCTACTAAGCTGAGTTGGCAAAAAGTTTTTTTCGTGCATATGTGGCAAAAACATCAGGGGACACTGGCAGCATATGTTAAAAAAAAGCTAAACATTGTGGGATCTTTATATGGAGGTTTTCAGCAGAAACAAACTGAAGAAACAAACAGTAAAAGGTTGAACGCAGTCCAATAAGAATGCACTAAATACATTGAAAAAAAAAAAAAGGCTAGTCACTAGTATAGCTCCTAAGACGAGAATTTGATAATGTAGGCAACAAGCCATGAGTCAGTACTGAATACTCACACTTTTGTGCTGGAGATCTTGTCGTTGTGTATGGGCGAGATACAAGGAGGAAGCAGCAGTGCATCTTTGTCCATCCGAAGCTTCTTGCCTCCACTCATCACGTCACAGTGCTCAGACTGCAGAGAGATGGAAGTTAATTACCACCATCCAGAATTTAACATGTTATTCACCTTGGCAGGATGAAGGACGAGTTGAAACATCTACATCAAGACTTTTTATTTCTCAAACAACCATGTTGGAAGACATACCCATGTCCATATTCCAGGATGACAATGGCAAGATGAAAGAGTGATCCAGGGAGCATGAGAAATCATTTTCATTCATGAATTGGTCAACAGAGTCCTGGCCTTAACCCACTGACAGCAATGTTCCTTCTAAGCTTACGTTGCGACTGCGCAGAATAAATAATATGCCGCACACAGGACAGATGCAAAAATGAGTTGGGAAAGCCATTTGATTGAATTCTAGAAAATGCTAAATAATTGCAATGCTTGGGCAAACGGCTATAGAGTTGGTGAATGCGGTTAACAGGTTTCATAGAAAGAGAATGAAGTGCGCCAAATGAGTCGCTGTAGAAATCAAATACTTTATTTTTTGTGGACGAAATAACTCAACACAATGGGTTGATGGGCACGGAATGGCAACAAAACTCTGGGACATTTACAGTCACACTCAGGTGTAGTAGTGTGCAAACTCTACTACATGGGGATGTTTTAGATAAATGTAAAAGAATTCACGTTCACATTTTTTGAAAATATTTCTTGAAAATATTAGTTTTTTTTCATATTATATTATATTACATTACATTATTATAAAGAATATTCTTTAATGATTTTTTAACATAATTTCTTGGTAAGTAACAGCACTGTAAAAAATGTTTTCTCAGGTAACCTAAAATGTGTATCATTAGTTACATCAAGGGTAAAATAAAATATAAATAGCACATTAAAGTTAAAAGTTACACACTTTTTTTGTGTGCGCGCTGTACAGGTCTGGTATATAGAATGTTTTTGCTCAGGTTACCGAAATGTCCGCCCAATAGAGAACATTTTTGCAAAGCAAGGAAAAAAAATAGAGGGAATATTGTCAATGTCAATACAAGATCTCGGCAAAAAATTAATGCAACTCTTGATGGAAATATGTTGTCATGTTGCATAATGTTGTCGAAACAATGCCACAACGACTGCACTATATAATCAAAGCTAAAGGTGGTCCAGTGAAATATTAGAGCGTACAACGGTTTTTTTTTTTTTGGACAGGCAGTGCATATTGAGGTCTGATAACCTGGATAAAAGGTCTGGGCTGATAACTGAGGGTGTTTTCACATATAGTACACTTTACACGAACCAAACCCAGTTCAGTTAAAGTGAACAAGACAGAGAACCGGCTGCAAGTGATCTCAGTGCTCCTGATGTTCACATTGTAAGTGGACTTAAAAGGGGACTCTTTTAAACCACACACGAAACCTCTTGAGTTGGACTATTTTGTTTGTGCGTCTTTAGGTCATTTGTGGGGATCTGAGATCATTTGTCTTCACATATGCAAGTTATTTGTCTTAAGATTGCTTGTACTGTTCTAAGGAACTAGGTGTGAAAACACTCTGAAAGGTTGGAGGTGCAAGCAGTCTTTCATGAACTGTCACCATCTGTGCCTGTAGGACATAAGAGTTTCATATGTTCCTGTAGGGTCGCTGTGATTTTGCCAAGTAAGACATGTTCCTGGATCAACATCTTCTGTTGATCCTGGATCAACATAACTGTCCAAAAATATAGACTTAACCCAATCCCTACCCCTAAACCTAACCCTACCCATAATTTATTCCTAAAAACAGTGTGAACTGATAGCTGATTAATAAGGGTGTAGAAGCACCTAACCCTGATTGTAAGCCTAAAACAGATATTTACTGAAAAGTTATCCCTCGATTCTGATTGGTTGATAGGAATGTTGTTCCAGGATCAACAAGGATGTAAACAAGGAACATGTTGTACTTGGTGAAGTCACGGTCACCGTTCCTGTAGACAGGAAGGTCTATGATTTAAATATGACGTTGGATGAGATGTTGTACTATATTATAAAAACAATAAAAATGTTTGGCAGGTAAATATCTGGGTTGCTAATGAATTATACAATTCGAACGCAGCAAGGGGTGATCCTTCAGCTATCAAGGTACTCCAGAGGAATTGTTCCATGGAAAAAAGTTGATGTCATTAAAAGGACCTGCTAAATGACTACTTGCTTAAAATAATTATTACGTGATTATTTTGCTATTGCAGTCCTTGATTTTATAATTATAGAGCATGAAATGAGAGTGAGAACACTGAACACTTGCCTTGTGTTTCCTCTTTGATCTACTAGAGTTCTTTTCTGCAGGGATAGAGGCAGGAGACTGTTGCCGTCTGTGCTTGACACTGACCTCCCGACACTCGGCCTTGGTTGGGGGAGGCTCCGGGGGGCCTTGCCCTGGGATCCGTGACAGGAAGCTGAGTTCAATCTTAACCCAAAGGGACTTGATGTCCTCAAACTCTCTTAGTGGTGACAAAAGTTCATTTTGTACAATGGGGATGGGAGAAAAGAGGGACTCTTCCAGGAGATCCAAAGCACCTGGATCAGGAATAGAGGTGCTGCTTGTGCTGGTAAGGCTACTAACATTCAGGATATTGCTGTTGCAATCCTTGGATTTCAGGCTTAGGGTGTTGGGACCGGGACAGGGAATCTGAACCTTAGTGAGCTCTTCAGGGTCCGAATGACACTCGGATGAAGAAGACTCTGTCTCAATGAACTCCTTAGACTTGGGGATGATCTTGTTGGGTCCTCGGTGCTTCTTTTTTTCCGGAACTGGTGTGATATTCGTTGGTGCAGTGTTTGTTGTGGTGGTCCGAGGTTCTTTTCTTGGAGCCGTCTTGACCCCAGGGCCCTTGCCTCTAGGTTTTGGCGGCTCTAAAGGCGGGGGCTCTTTCTCTTTCGGCGTAGAACTTGAGTTTAATGGTCTTGGCCAGTTGTGCTCCTCGCTACTGGAAGATCGCTCCACCTTTTTGGGCTGCTTCTTTCCAGTGCTTCTCCTCTGGGGAGCTAGCTCCACTGAGGCTGGTGATTTCACCTTGGTGCTTTTGCTGTCTGGAGCCTTCTGACCAGTCTTGGGTTTGGCTTTCTCTCGGATAGGATTGAGCAACGTTCTCTCCTTGGGGTCTGCTGGTGCCAGTGTTGTGCTGGGCTTGCTCTTGCTGGAGCCCTGGTTCTCTGAGGCTTGGCTTTCATCAGGTTGAGAGCTGTTAAGCACATGACTGTCTGACTGGTTGTTAATTAGTGCTTTATTGTGAGGATTAACTTTGTTTAGCCACTTATCTAGTTGCCACTTGTTTGTTGATGGAGGTTCAGGCTGGTGGAAAAAGACAAAACAAATTTATGGCACCACAGTTTTAGGAATATTGACTACATTGTCTCAACAACTTATTTCATCAATTGCACAATGACTCCAGTCTTGAATGTATTACATGCATCAAGTGCATGGAGGTCTATACAATGTAAATGGATGCATGTGTAAAATAACATGGAAACCGAATTTCTAATGATGCATATCGATACAGATTCCATCTGTCTTCAGTGTTGATTCATGAGAAGCCTGATGATTCCGTCTTTCACAGACCAATGAATGGCACTATGATGAAAAGGCCATTAAGAGAGGAAGTCGTAAAATTCCTGAATAACGGAGGAAACGCTGTGAGTACTGTCCTGATGACTGCTCACAGCTCTCACTGTGGAGATGTTTTCATCAGCTATATTATCTCACGCCAATTGTTGTGTACCATTATATTTCCAGACACAAGTAAATCTTTCCCATGAACCCATAAACACTGTCTTGAATGCTTTGAATGATAGCAAATCATTTAGAAAAGGAAGCTGTGGAAATGAGTAGACATCCATATTAACCATTAAACTCACAGGGTAAGAAATTCAATTCAGTGCACTTTCTAATCAGACCTGATGGCACGTTTCGAGACAAAAGGTAATCTCCTATGCTATTTCACATTCAAAAGCCACATTCTCCATCTGTCAGAGAGATATTTCCGCCAATGCAAGCTACTAAATTTTATATTGAAAGCACCGGCAAAGATGATGAATTAACAATTGAGCGTGTCGAAATTGACAGGCTCCCAATATTTTGCCACTGAGGTATCAAGGCTATGCGCCGCCACTTGAAAGAGAAACATCTTTCTGCAGACCAGAGCGCTTGCAGTGCTAAGATACGGATTCCCATTGGCCATCCCTGGCAGAGAGCAAAGCTATACACACAGAAGGGGCGATGAGAACCGGGAGATGTTTACTCTTGTGTAATGCTCTTAGGGAGTCCCGGGCAGGCTACTGCGGGACAACTTTAAAGCTGCCAATTAATCCTTTGAGGAGATCCTTTCAAAAATCTTACCCCTATTCCATGCTGAGAGAAACTCGGAGGGGGAATGCTGTCTAAGTCTCTCTTTGCCTTTAGCTAACGGAAAACATAGACTTACTCAGATTCATCTCGGTTCTTTTGAAATGTCTGGTAATGGGCCCGACAATAGTCATCTAAGGGAAATAATTGCATAAACTGGTATTCATTTACCTCAGGGCCCAGAGTTCAGAAGGTGAGCAAAACAACAAACAAAACTGGTTCACAATCAATCAACCAATCAATCAATCAACCAATCAATCAGTCAGTCAATCAATCAATCAATCAATCAATCAATCAATCAATCAATCAATCAATCAACCAATCAATCCATCATGTGGAAATAATATTTTACTGAATTTAAATGATGCTTATGATAGGAACATTGTAATATTTTTACTTATTTTATGTATCTTATTTTAATATTTTATGGCATTATGCTCATGACAATTAAACAATTTTCTCCTTTAAATTCCAATTAGAGTAATATTGCAGTAATGTTTGTTTTAATCATTAAGGCAAAGCAAATTCTAACAATCGACTGCTACCAAAAATAACATTTACTACAGTATTTTTGGATACTACAACAATAAAACATTTAAATAAAAAACACAACTTTTCACATTACAGTAATGAGATTTTTTTGTATTACAGTAACAGCAACTGTGCTTAAATGCAAATAAAAAAAATCACATTCAAAGCAAAATAGCACTATCTGCAGTAAATACAGTTTTAAATCAGCTTCATAGAAAAGTAAAGATGGTATATTAACAACTGAGTGTGTCTTGACAGGCCTTCCAATATTTTGCCACTGAGGTGTCAGGCATACTTTTTTAAAGCAGCTTCATAGAAATTATACACAAATCTTAAGGGGTTCATTAATTAGAATGGAGTGTCCACATATTTTTGGCCCTATACTGCAGTGTATGAACTGAACTGAGATACACCTGTAACAACAGCCATCAGCGAATGGAATGAACAGACAAGTCATGGATCAGTGTGAGGATGTGTTGTGACAGTTTGAGAGGTGTAAAGTGATCAGTACCTCTGGTGTGGCAGCACGGGACGCTCGGTTGCACTCACTGTCACTGGAACTGCTGTCGCTGTCCGAGTCGGATTCAGAGCTGCTCTCCGATTCACTGGAACTGCCCGAGGCGCCACTGGAGTGACCGGTCGGTTCGCTGGTCCGCTGGGTGGTTCCAGGGAGGCTTTAGGCAAAAGAACAGAGGAGAATATTTGTCAAATGATATGACACACTTCAAAACACACAAATGTGCCATTGACAGCACAGATGTAGGTACAGGTTGTTTTATTAATGCACATTGGATTTTATTTAACAGCAGGAGAAACTGGGCCAATGCATTCATCAGCTGAACCTTTGACACGTTGTATCAGACAGAGCTGTAAGGCACGGAAGCCCGTTTCTGCCACAGTATAAAAAAAAGATGAACCAATTGATGATAGACTACATCACTTACAGAGAGACAGAGATAGAAAGATATAAATAGAAAGAAAATGAGCAAGGAAAGAAAGTGTTTGTTTACTTCACCTACGGGGCTATTACTCGGCTCTGTCTCAGATTTATCAGTCATGCTCAGCATTATTTATGAGTTCATGAAAGGCCACAGTGCTCTAATCCAATAAGTACTTAACTTCTCAGGATATCCTCAGATGTGGCTATCCAAGATTGTTCTACATGGAGTCAAACATGCCAGAAGGAGGCAAATTAAATTCCTTTCCAAAGGTCAGACCAGGCTGCTTTATGTTGACACTTCATTAGAGATTATATTACGGCAAGAAAAAGCGCTCTGGTCTACAGCTGTGCCAGCAAGACATGGACAACATTAGCCAGGAATGAGGAACCTGTCTCAGGAAAGTGAAAATACAGATTTGTGTCAAATCATGACATAAGTTATATTCAAAATTGCCCACTTGCTCACTCATGCACTTTCAATGTGAAGCAAAAACAAACTACCTGACAGCCAGTGTTGTCTACAGCGAAAATGCATGCTTGTCATCACATTAAATACAGTACAAAATATCAAACCAAGTGTTGGATGCTAGGCCTTTTTTCAGAACAACATTTTTCTGACTTTTAATCAACTGATGATTAAGTTATATTTTGTTTGGTATCTTTTTTTTAATCTAATGCAACACAAAATATATATATAGTTCAAATTTGAATGTTATATTTAATATACATTAAACCTCTTAATCAAATACCACCTGAAAGAAATATGACTCAGTTACAGAAAGCACTGTGAAATGTTCTGTTCTTTCAAAACACCAACCTCTGTGACCTTTGTCTATGCAAATAGCACTGATTGGTGTGATACACACATACAAACCGAAAGAAAAGAAAGACAGCAGAAGGTAATTTTCTCTCCATCCTTTGGTCTTAATATGGTTGACCTTTGGTTAGCAGCTGTGGAATCTCATGAGAGAAAGGCAAGTCTTCCTGAGAAACCTGGTTCATTTACCTTTTGTCACAGATGATATTGCTTACTTTTTAACACAATACAACACCCTACTAATGAACTTAATTTCACCTTTTTTCTGTATGAAAAATGTATAATATAATATAATATAATATAATGCACTTTTATCTTAATTTAAAGGGTTAGTTCACCCAAAAATGTAAATTAGCTTGTGTTTTACTTACCCTTGAAGCATCCTAGGTGTATATGACTTTCTTCTTTCAGACAAATCCAGTCGGAGTTATATTAAAAACTGTCCTGGCTATTCCAAGCTGTATCATTGCAGTCAGCGGGTGTTGCAGTTGAACAGTCTACAAGTCGTCAAATAAAGCGCGCGGAACCTCCTGACTACCAGGAAAAAAAAGTTTTGTGAATTTAGTATTTTGTCATGTCATTACATTGTTTAGAGCATAAGAAAAATGTTGAAAAATAACATTTTTGAAAAATGATATTTTATTCATATGTTATGCCATGTCCTCTGTAGAGGACATCAG